ATATTCGTTTCAAGCACGTATATATCGATATCGTCGGTCCTTTATTTCCATCCAAAAGTTTCAGATATTTATTAATAATGATTAACCGATTTATTCATTGGCCGGAAACTATTCCATTACAGGATCATACAGCAAACACAGTGGCGAAAATGTTTTTCACTCACTGGGTAGCCAGATTCGAAGCTCCACGCTTAATCAGGGCTCGCAATTTAGCGCAAAGCGCAGCTGTTCGACACATTAACCAAACTCGTCGGTTCTAAACGTTGTCGGACAACTGCATACCATCTAATGGTGGTCATCGAATGATGGCATCGCTCTTTAAAAACTATATTAATGTGCCACGGTGAAACTCAATGGCCAGTAGTATTACTCGGACTGAGAATTTATTTCAAAGAGGATCTAAGCACTTCTGTAGCGGAATTAGTTTACGACACTATGCTCAAAGAACCGGGTGAGTTTTTCTCCTCCGAAGAAATGCCGAGCGATCCATGAATTTTCGTCGAAGATTTCCGCGTCATTATGCAAAAGTTACGGCCTAGACCAACCTTTCATCACATTAGACCTAAGTTATTTTTCCATAAAGATTTGTATAGCTCTCATGTCATCTTCAAAATAGACGTCTCCTGGACCAACCATACACCGGACCGCATAAAGTATTAGAGCGCATTTCGGACAAAATCTTTGCTATAGAAGTCAACGGCAAATGTATCAACGCCAATGTCGATAGACTTAAGCCCGCTTATTTAATAATTCAAGATTCAAAAACTACTCCGTCCCCGCGTTCAACTAATATTTCAGTGCAATGTGAACCAAAGACATATCTTGATCCAGCAACCAAGCGAAAGATTGTTAGAATTTAAGAATTAATTCGCGCAATATTACATTAAGCCATCAACAAACATAAATTTCTGTTTGTTTCATTTAATTTTATTTTCTGTTATTTTCATTCTAGCGATAATGTAATCAGTATTTCTTTCCTTAACATTTACACTAGGAGGGGAGTACTGTGGCATTGCGAGCGTTAGTTGCGGCGCTGCAAACGTTAGTCGCGGCACTCGAGTTGGTTCTTCTTTCCGGTTGCTTCCTTTATTTTCTCTCTCTCTCTCTCTGCTGTCATGGCGTTCTGCGGACCTCGTGTAAGTCTCTGCGATAAATAATAGGTTAAGATTCGGTAAGATTAAGAATCGCCTTGTGTTCACTGCAAGATCGACATCGATTACTCATGTCTTTCGGTAATTGTTAGCGTCGTCAGATAAATACTCATAGTGTATTTTCTTAGTTTCCCGTATTCTAACCTAGCAACGCTATACCGATATCCGAGCCGGACTTCCTAAATATTCCACAACGTAGCCACAGTATTGTGGCTATTGGGGCGGCTGCTGTGCCCAATATGGCGAGAGTGTCTAGGCGCTGGCGATTATCAACTAACGGCGAAGGACAATTGGCGGGAAATCGTTAGGTTGAGAATGAGTGCTACTCGCTGATTCTGACTTTTATGCCATAAGGCGATTTAATACAAACTTGACTAATTATTTAACACAAATATAGATAACAAAATAGAGACGTGATTGCGTGCATAAGACGGCTCGGATACCGACATTGCGTCGCGGGGTTACAATACAAGAAATTAAGAAAATATACTCTGAGTAATTATCCGACGACGCTAACAATTATCACAAGACATGAACGGTGTCGGTATCGATCTCGCAGTATACACAAAGTAATTCGGAACCTTAACTTCCGAGTTTTAACTTACTGACTATCGCAGAGACTTACACGAGGTCCGCACGCGGCACCCCATGACACCAGAGAGAGCGAAAGGAAGAAGAAACGGAAAGAAGGACCAACTTCAGCGTCGCGACGGACGTACGCAGCGCCGCAACCAACGCTTGCAGCGCCGCAACCAACGCTCGCAACGCCACAGTATCCTAGCATTAGTTGCCATCTATAAGAATGCCATGAACTTCTTAATTAAAATTTAACATAGTGTCAAACATGGCGTCAAATTTAACATGGCGATAAACATGATTGTGCTGTGTAATCCAATGTAATCGTAAATGATCGTAAACAATTGTAAACAAGAAAAATCTCTCCGTTGAGGGAAGATTTTGTACCTGGTTCAACCATCATATACGCATATCTCAGCAAACGAGAATGAATTGAAATAGATTAAAATGGATTCAGATTTTCAGAAATATGGATTCATGTGATGAATATTAAAATGAATCTTTTTCAATCCTGAATGCATTTTTATTCATTTATAGAAATTGCATAGAGCATATCTCTATGCCTTTCAATCTAAAAATAATATTAGTATTTTCTGCATCATGAATACTACTCGATTCAGAATTGTGAATAGAAAGTACAGTTTTTTAAATTCAGTTAAATTCAAAAATAATATCAGCAATTTCTGTGCAACGTGAACTACTCAATTCAATATTCTGAATATGAAATGCAGTTTTTCAATCCAATTGCATTCAATTGAATCTAATTGAATTCAATTGAATCCAATTAAATCCAAAAAAGTATTCGCTATTTAAAATACGCATTCGAATAGAAAACAATTTTAATCCATTTTAATCCGTTCTCGTTTGCTAGGTATTAATTTTAGAACTTGCAATTGCGTTTTTCAATTCTTCTCCTATATTTGTATGAATTATATATATAATGTTTGTATCATCAAATCATTTACATATATGTTTACGTTGCATCTGTTCTTTATATGCTTTTTGTATCTTCCTATTTCCATTTAAATAAAAAATTTTTGATAAATATATCATTTATAATTAATGTTTGGTTTTATTGTAATAATTATTTAATAATGTTATTTTCTGCTCAGAGAATTAAGTAAAATTTGTGATTTTATTTATATTATGGTTGAATCTATTCAGTACCATCAGTTTAGCAATCACTTTTTGTAAGTTTTTTTTTAATTCCTTAGACTTTTGTGTTATTGTACAATATAATATCTTCCCTGTACCTTTCCGTGCCTTTTTTGACTTGTTTACATTCATGTTTAGTACATGTGTGTGTGTGTGTGTGTGCGCGCGCGTGTGTGTGTGTGTATTTACATATATATTGGATTGAAGAATAAGTTTGTGCCGTTTTGTATTTTATTATCTCGCAGATATCTCATTTATCCATAAGATAATATCTCATAAATTAAATAATCTAGATAAAATTATCTAGAGATGAAGAAATTAGCCATTAGGCTTTAAATGACGCTTTAATGAAATGTTAATTTTACTTATATGACATATATGACATACTAACTTCTATTTTAATCTCATTTTATACACATAATTAATTAAAAAACAATATTTTAAAGAAGATAAAAAGACGAGACGAGCTTATTGTGTTTCTGGTTGCACTTTTATAGTTAAACAATCATTGCATAAATTTTCTAAAAATCCATACAGATGTGCTGAATGGACAAAAAGTTTGAATTTAAATCACTTAAGAAATTATAATAGCAACAAATTGCAAAACCTAAAAGTTTGTCGTAAACATTTCCGCAAGACAGATTATTTCTGTCCTAAATTTCATCGTGTTTTGAAAGATACAGCAATTCCATTTATAGAAGAATATGAAATTCTTCAGAACATAGAAGTGGAAGAAATACAGGAAACAAATCAATTGCAAAAATCGAGCAAAATGTTAAACATATTGATCATAATCTATTGGTTGAACAAACGTATAGTGAAGAACAATACGATACTCATGACATACAAATCGAAGAAATACACGAATAAAACCAATTACAACAGATCGTGCAAATTGTTGATAAATATACAGATCAATTAGAAAATCACGTAAATCGACTACAACTATTAGAAAATCGAGCACATCGACTACAACTGTTAAAAAAAAAAGTTTGCTTTTTTTTGCAAAGTATATCAAAAGTATGATCAGACTTACAATAAATAATACATAAAGCTAATCTTTTTCCTACAGCCCAAAGATTGTATAAGATAAAATTAAAACACGAAAAAAAACATTTAAAGCGTCTTCTGCATTCAACAAATAGAAAAATTAAAGAACGGACGAAAACATCTCTGAAAAAAGCAGCAACAAAAATTTAAATAATTCGATAAAGGTCCGAAAACGGTTTATCAATATTATTTTCAGAAATAACGTTCTTTTTTTTTTATAACGGAGGGAAAATGCCTAACGCATACCCCGGGCCTCGGGGGAGAGCCCGCGGTTATGTGGGGCTTGCACCCACTAAAATCCCTCCGGGTGTCCGGGTGGGCCATAGCTGAGGGACTCCCAGGAACGCGTGCAGCATACTTCTGGGAGCCCCTCTGGCCAGTCGGCTTGTGTGCCGATATCCTTTCTCGCCCGGGGATTTTAAGACGTCGAAAAGACGATCCCGGGCGGTGCAGGGCACCGACTGCCCACGTTCGGGCGCTGGAGTGGACACCACCCCCGCGCCCGCCCCCCCCGGCTGGTGTTGGGGGGCGGGAGTTGGGGATACCGGCCTCCGCCGGGATCCCCAGCCCTCCAAG